CTCCCGGGGCCCCGGCCGCCGCCGGTGCTTCCCGCCGCCGGGCGCCTCAGAGGAGGGACCTTGGAGTCTCATTGAGGGCCGCTGCGGGCGGGGGGGCGCCAATGTTGAGCATCATCGGGCAGGGCACTGAGAATGGGGCCTATGAAATCATTGAAGTGAGGTGAATGCAGAACTGCTGTCATCGGATCCAACAGTACGTGAACTAGGGACACTTGGTGAGACTGCCAGAAGACTCCTTTAAAATACATAGACAGAAGGTGCTGTGTTGCATAACTGGTAGTGAACTTGCAGAGGCAGATAGGTTCAGAAAACTGAACGTAGGGAGGGTCAGAAAATTGGTTCAACAAATTCACAGATAAGGGATCTGTAAACAGATGCTGAAGTGAGTGGGCAGCAATTCTAACGCTACAAATCTAGCAATTGCAGATGCTGGGAGAGTATGAGGATTGTGTCAGAGACAGTGGCTGGACTCGCATGCTGTCCTAGAGTAGTATCTGCTGTTGCCACCGTTGGAGACAGAATACTGGGCAAAGGGGACTGTTGATCAGACCCATCTCTTAATAGGCTCCAAAAGAAGCAGGAGTTATATTGGTTTCTGGCTGTACATGAGGATTTATCCTTTCCTATAAAGAGATGTTTGAACTGCTGGCACAAAGCAGTTCGGAAGAGTAGGTGAATTTAATTTTAGTAGCATTGCAAGGGATATAGGGCTAATTAGTCTTTAGAAAAGTCTGAATGTTCTGGAAGCAAAGAATGAAAAATTACATTAATTACTAAGGAGATTTAGGCTGCATTAAAATAGAAGAAAGTTGATCAATTATGTTAATTGGTGACAGATTTCTAAAAGTAGTAAGTAGTTATTTACAGAAAAGATCAAGCATAATCTGGATGAAGTCCATAAGAACACTAACAATTTTGTATGGTAAGATTCTGTTAAACCTTGTGTAAGTATGAGCTTTCCTCAGGAGGAAAACAGTTTTTTCTTTATAACGGGTTGTTTTTCCATTATTTGGGGAAAGATGGAGAAATGTTAAGTGGAGATAATACAACTCAATGACACTTTTAATATTAAAAATATAGTTATTTATTTTTCCATAAAATTCTGGCTTCTTTCATTTGTGTATATTTTACATGGTCCCTCCTGCTTTCAGTCTTTCTGGAAGAGAATTTTTACTGTTCATGGTTTCACTGGTATCACATACAGTCTGCAATGAGATAGGTGAGGAGTTGCTCCTAAGATTACTAAGAAAGATGACTTACTGAGGGGGATTTATGCTGTGTCTAATGGAAAATTATAAGAGAGTAACATTATATAATAGTCTGCAATATATGATTTTAATTTTAGTATCTGTCATCTGTTAATGTTTTTGTTATTTACTACACCATTATTTTAACTCTAACAGCATTCATTTTGTTTGAATAAGTTTGCGTTGTTTTGAACACTGGAATCTTTTTTCAGAGATCATGAAAACACAGCTTCAAGCTTGCTGCAGGATCACTATCTCGATTCATCTTGGAGAACTGATAACAGTCTCGTAAGTGCTTTTTTAAATGAATGGTACTTCTAGCAAGGTTATCAGAACTTCTGTTTTCTCCATTTTCTTCCCGCCACGTACATGCTCTTTTAGGTTCTTAACCAGTGCTTTTTGTTTACTTTTCAAAACTATTATATATTCTTGATATTCAAGTAACAGCATGACAGAATTCAAATATTAAAACATTCGTATTGTTTGCAGCCATGGACATTGGACAACAGCATTAGTGAAGAAAACAGGGCTGTCATTGAGAAAATGTTGCTGGAAGAAGAGTATCCTTTTGCTGATTTGCTTGTATGTTTTCCTGTTTAACAATAGAAAACTTCCTGTTTCCAAAGGAACTGGACAAATCTTTTCTTGTTAAAGTGACTGAAGCACTGTCATCTTGTAGATAGATTGCCAAAATCAAGGAGGACCCCTGAATTAATCATCTAGCTACCTGCAGTGTCCTCTGATGCTTCTGATTCTTCAGAAAATTACTCCAAAGCTTGTTGGATTTAAGCTGGCACTGGCAGCAAAAATAGCAATATTCGTCCCCGCTTCAGCTGCTTGTTCAGTGCCACCTCCAGCATTGTGCTGATGCAGCCATTTGTGTGGCTTCATAGTGAACCTGATGAAAGAGCTGATCTGGCTAAAAATAGCTAATTCTTTTTGCTGAATTGTTCTTCACTTGGACTGGTTTACTGTCTGATTTTTGTCTGGCTACATTCATACTTCTGCCAGCATGCAAGATGAAAACGGGAAGGAACAGCTGCTGCTTTTTTTTTTCCTTCCCTTTTTTTTTTTTTAAACAGTGTTGGCTTAAATAGTCTTACCAGTAGTAGCGTTTCTGGCATAAGTTGACCTCACAGACTAGGTAGGTTATAGCAATAGTAATCATGGGCTAATTTGTTTTCATGTTCTTTTTGTAATTGAGTGTAGGAATATACAGTAATAGAGGAACAAGAAAATAAAGCAATTAAAGTTTTCCTAATAAATTGAATTATTGAGGCTTAATTTGAAAATAGATAAGGTATCAGTACAATGAAAATTAGTCTGTTTTCTAAGTCAAAAAAGAAAAATGCTGCTGTTGAAACAGGATACCTAGTTTGCTGCAAGTAAAGTGAGCGTGGAGGTTCAGAAGTCAAATGTCACTTCCTTCTGCATTAAACTAGTAGGAGTCTGTGAAATTGTATATTTCAGTTTTGAAAGCAGTGCAGTATTTGCTTCTACAGCTGAATAATTATGAACCAGTGTAATTTATATGATTATTAGAATTCCTATGTGTCCAAATACCTCTGATGCTTCGAAAACTTACTTAGTAACTATTTCAGATATTACTTATCTAATAAATCACTTTCTGAAAAAATATGGCTCAATCACAAGGAAG